TAAAATGACAAGAGAATCACGAATTCTGCGAACGTCGCAATGCAGTGTCTCTATGAATAGCCAGCAGAAATGGTCAAAACGACAAATGGCAATCGAAAGCGTCATAAAATAACGCTAAAGCGCTGACTGTGTGTGTGAGTGTGTATGTAAATATGTGTGCGGCTTCAAATGTTTTGGGGGAAACATATGTTAAACTGGCTAATTTCTGGTTTATTATTGTTATTGTTGTTGTTGTAGTTTTCAGCATGTTATTTGTTGTATTTGTTTTGGTAATTGGCTCTTTGGTTGCTTTGTTGTAGTTTTTGTATTTTTTGTGACTCCGTAGGTGCTGGCAACTATTTAAATAGACTTGCAGCTCCAAGACCAGCTGGTCGTGTGGTTTACTGACTTTAACTTGTGCATATATTTCTTTTAAAGTGTATTTAATTTTGTATTTCACATTTTTGTGCATTTAATCAACTTTTAAGGTGGAAACAAGCTATTAGCGACTGCGACCGAGAAAAGTGAGAAGCACCGCAGAAACGGCTTAAATGCTAAAATATTCGTTAATATTTTCAATTTTATGTATTTCCATGTTTTGTAATGAAAAATCACTTTCACTTCAATTGCATGTTTGTATGTGTGTATGTGTGTGTTTCAGCTGACCATTGAAGCAAAAAGAAAATGCAATATTTTTTTCCATTTTTCATAGCTATTTTTAGCGCTCTTTTGTTATTTATAACTCCGATTTTCAGTTGTTAGCAACTTTTGTGCAGTTAACTAATATTTACTGCGCCCCTTTTGCCGTTGTTTGTGTACTAACTTTGCCTTGCAAAATTTTATAATACACTTAATTTAAAAAAAAAAATTTTGTGCTTGTACAAGTTCGATTTTTTGATTTAAAAAAAAATTTTTTTCTACACACAATAAACTTCATGCGAGTTCTATGAAATCATTGTATTTGTATTACAACTTCCGCCTTATTATATTATATGTTTTGTTACCCCGAACGCACGCACGCAAAGTGGCTACTAAATGAAGCTACTCACTGTCGCATTCGGAGAAGTGTCACTGTCAGTGCTTCATCACTCGATATTCGCATAGAATTGGTCTTGGCGCTCGAATAATAATTTAAATACAATTTTGTGTACAAAACAACCACATATTTTTAGTAACTAAATACATTCATTTGAGCTGGGAAGCTGCAATTAATATGTCCACTCCAGCGTGGAGAGAGCGTGAGCGTCTTGTTGTTGCTGTTAACTGTTCGTGCGCGAGGTCACCTCTTCACCTTTGGTGGCGAAAAGGTTAATTCAATAAAGTATTCAAGCTCATATAATATCTACATATGTACATTTATGATGAACACTGCACTGAAGTTGGAAACTAGTCAAAAAATCAACAGATTTATTCCCTTACATTATATAGGAAAATCTGAAACTACCAAACCAGCTGTTTGGTCTTAAATTGATCTAGCAACATTTTGTCTATTTTGAACTAGTATGATACTAGTGTTAGTAGTGGTTAAGGTTGAGTTTTGGTAAATATTTAATACATTTTGATATTTTCCTATCTTTTGCTATACAATTAGTAGTTAGGTTGTCTATTTACCAATTTCCAAGGCAAAATGAAAATCACCTCTTAAATGTTATTGTTCAGCACTAGAGTATGTTTTATGATGAAGCGGCTAGAGGAGATTTAAAACTTCTTTCTATAATAAAAAGTAAATACACTTAAAGCCCATATTTTATATTTATCTTCGAATTCCCCTAAGCTGCCTCAGACCATTTAGCTCCTTCAAGGGTTGTTTGAAGCAATGGATCCTAGAGGAGCACCTCAGGTCTTTGAACACTACTAACACAGGGCATACCAAAAAGTTACTTTGGGTAGTGTTGATGGTGGAAAGACGAAAAAGCTTCCACTTCAAGGCAAAAGAGAACTAAGTAATATTGTTCAGGTCCCCACAGGGCACCTTTAAGATTCCACCTTCACAAAATTGGAAAGGTGTATAAAACGGAATGCAGAGCATGTTTTTTACTCTGAATAGGTTATATTACGGACTGTAATTAATTAGTCTCTCATTTTAAGAGATATGGACGTGGAATTTTGCACACGTCCTTTCACTATAGCATATAGCTGCCATACAAACTGAACGATCAAAACCTAGTTCCTGTATGGGAAACTTCTTTAAGCTATTATAAAGCTATTAGATGATTTACCCCACCCAATTTCGTCTGCAATTCTATTTCGAATATAATTTTTTAAAACAAAATTTATTTTCACAGATTTTCACGAATTGTTGCGGTTTCAAAAGATTTACATTACACAGTTTAAAAGATGTTAAACGGTTTGAAAACCTAGAATTTTTCCCTAATAACCGGATTTATTACATTGTTCAAAAAATAAAGAAATTCTTTCTAGAAAATGATTTTGAACTATAGCACTGAACTTTAAAAACCAACGTTTTTCGACTTCTAAAACATAATAATATGTTTTCAAGATACCTCAATTCTCATGAATTGACCAAACGTTAACAAACTAATAAAGTTATTTTAAATTAAAAATATGCTTTAATATGTTATAGGAGTTCTAACAGCACATTGTTCGATTGCGATTCATGCGGTTAGCTTGAACATCTTAACGGTTGTCACCTACATCAGCTGTTTGAAAGATGATGACATAGAATCATCACAACAAATCCTCCTCGCATGTCCCGCTTTTGCTAAATCAACGCAAAAACACCTCGGATCTCATATTCTTAGACATCCAGGAGAAAATCGAAAATAGAAAAAATACTTAAGTAGATATGTGATAGGTTCAGGGCATTTTGCCGATATCTAATATCCAACTACAGGAGTTTTTTCATTTGGCTTTTCAAAGACTAAACACACAGTCCCCCCGATATGCTAAGGGACCTAACCTAACCTAGCATCTCTCGTACTACAAACGGCCGGTTTTACTCGCAATTTCTATTAATTTATTGTCTATAGCATATATCTAATATTTCCAGTATTTTTTTTTCACTTTCAAATTGTTTAAGAAAAATGAATGAATATCTTGGACACATTTTGTTTTTAAAGATTTTGTTTTGTAATACATCTTTATTATTTATTGCTTTTAAAATAATTTTTGCTATACATTTTAAGCTTATTCTGATTAAGCAAAAACGAAAATTACTTTGCTGAAATGCTTTCCGCTTGACTGTAATCGAAGTATGTTCAAGTGTAACACTACCAAAATGTTAGCAAAAGGATAGATGAATACTGTCTATATGGTAGCTATAACACCAAATCGAGTTAAGCGCATTTCAAAATTTATTAACCAAACTGTAGAAATGAATATGGCGTAATTGTAATGCTGGTGCACACAATAAGCGAGTACAAAACGAAAACAACAAAAATTTGAGTGAAGGGAAGTGAGGAAATGACGCGTGGTTGGCTAATCGACCTAGTGAATAGGAAATGCAAGCGTAACGACGAAATATCGCGTGTGTGCGGCGCTTGAAAAGGCTAAATAAATTAAAGTTATTTTTCATACTTTTGTTAATTTAAAGCGCATATATACGTAATATTTAGGTACATATATGAGATTTTTTATATGTACATATATATATGCATTTGCGTTGCAAAAGAAGTAAATAATCTATGAAAATAATGAAATTAATAAACCGAAAAGTTTGCTAGCCAGAATAAACTTGATTGGGGTCTTTGCGCCAGCTCAAGGAAAAACACCATATACCATGCAATGCTAAGCTGTACGTAGATAAAGTAGGCAAAAATTAAGGCGTCAAATAAAAAAGTGCCAAAAACAACATATTGCTTTATGCAAGAAGTAAATAGATAAAAGGAGACAACATTAAATTAAAACTGCCCACAATATATTAACTGCCTACAGCGATGGTGATAAATTATGTCAGGCAAGCGTAAGAGAGCTTAAAAATAAAGAACTTATTAAAGCGCAAACGAATCAAATGACAAAAGTAAATAAATAAAAAATATTGGTTTTTGGCTTTGTTTTTGCTTTTTTAAAAATAGAAAATACAGCTTTGCGAGTTCAAAGCCCGCCTACGCCCACTAAAATCGAAACACTGCAGCTGCTACAAATATTGTAAATTTAAAACGGCGAATGGTGTGTATTTGTGTGAAGAAAAGTAATGCTTTGACTCAACCGAGAATTGACCGCTAATCGGTTGTGTCGGGATGCGAACGCAGAACTGCCGCAGACTATTAAGCGGCGCAGTTGTTGTATTTCTTTTTGGTTTATTCTGTTAGTTTTTCGCTTATAACCATAAACACGTATGTATGTGTGTGCGTTTGTGTGCAATATAATTTATAAACCTTTTTGGCCCGTAAGCACTCAAAGAGACACGCTTAATTTGGGAACAGTTAATTGACCTTGATTGCGTTTGAACGCGCGCAGTTTTTCGTTTTGTTTTAGTTTTTTTCGGTGCGGTGCGCAATAGTGGGCCATGAAGGTGTATGTGTCGCTGTGACTCTTAATTGTGTAAATAGGAAAAGCTTGCGCTTACAACTATTGTAGAGAATGCGCTTGGTTGGTGGTGGCTTTGAAGTACGTAAATGCAGCTGCAGCTACAAAAGGGAGATATGTATATATATAAAAAGTACATTATAAAAGTGAAAGCATCAAATAGCTACGAATTTTCTATTGCGCGCTTATGTAACACAGTTATTGACCTTTTCAATATTTATCAGCAATTAATTGCTAGCCTTAAGTAACGCGCGTAGCGATCGCAGCTGTATCAGATAAATAGAGCTGTTTTGAGCGAAAGTCAACAAATACGGCGACGCGTTTCTCGCCGTCAACTTTTGTATGACACAACGCTTTTGAAAAACTCAAAATAAAAAAAAAACTCCGAAAACCCAAGCCAATAAAAGTGAATTGCATATAAGAAAATTGTAATTATGTTTTCACACATTTCACGGCTAACTAATGAACATTTTTATAGAGAAAATGAGTAAATCATAAATAAACATATAAAATGAAAATAAATGTGCGCTTACCGCCTGACATATTCAAGCGCTTGCGCGCATCACGCTTGGAGTAAAGGAAATGCTGCAAACCCAAACTAGCGCTGGACTTCTTCGCGCTCAAGGATGCACTGGCGCGACTCGCCAAGCTCGGCGAACGATAACGCGCGCTCTTCGCGCTACCACCGGAGCTATAATTGAGTGCGCCTTGCGATTTGGTGAGCGGCGTCGATGTGGCTACTGTAGTTTGTGCAGCGCTGGCGCTTACATTCGTCGCAGCTGTTGCGCCTATACTTGTAGTGGGTAGACGTGGCAGTGAGTTGGTGCTGGCCACTTGCGTAACACCGGTTAGGCTACGCGGTAATGTTGAACGCGCACCGAATGTGTCCTCATCTGAGGAATCCGATTCGTAGATGGCATCTGGCACGCTCGAGCGTCGCACATCCTTGCAATCATTAGAGGTAACCCAGGGTTTAGCCGGTGATGCCTCCAGTTCTTGATGCCTTTCATCGCCGCCACCGATACTACCGCACGAGCGCACACGATCTAGTTGCTCGCGACTCATACTCTTGTGGTTGAACAACAGATCACCTGCCGAACGACGCTTTGCAACGGCCAAAGCGGACGCAGACGATGAGTTGTCACGATCGAGTTGACTGAGTTTCGTTCTGGAATCGCCATTAGCCAGTAATGCCGATTCAAAACTACCGCGCCACGAGAAACGTTCATAATCGCTGGCGACGCCACACTCCTCGCCGGCGGTGTCACTGACACCGCTGCTCGATTGGTGGTGGTGTGGACGTGTTGCACCTGTACTGCTACCGCTTACGCTGCTACATGCTGCCGATGTCGAGGCTGAGTCGAGCAGTAGATCGTGTGATTTGCTACGTGCGAGATTGTTTGCTTCGTCCTGTAGCGCTTTGTTTGATTTCATTTGATGTGACAGATGATGCGATTGGTGTAGGTGGTGTTGATACGACAAATGTTGTTGCGTTGTATGATGTGTGTTGCGCGTCGGTTTTGCTTGATCGCCACTCTCCGAAGGGCTTTCTTCTTCATCTTCCGTGGTAGTAATGGATATTTTTGCTTGTAGCCGTTTGTGGTGGTTACGTTGTGGCGCAATTGGTGAATTGGTGCCGTGTGAATCATTACCACTATTTACCTCGTGCATGAGTGCGACAAGCCTTGTGCCGATGTGTTGCATTACCTTGGCGAACAGCTGTGGAGAACGTTCTACGCTTTGTGTGCTTCCGGTTGAAATTTGATCTTCTTCCACAGTGCGCTTTGTGTCGACGTCCTCTGTGCTAACTGGAGGCAGCTCAACCGTGGCTTGTGTTGTAGTTGTATTATTCGCATTTCCTACAGCTATTTTTGAGAATGACGCTACTAGTTTCTGATATACCAGTGCTGTGTCCGGATTCAGTCCATGCGTGTCTACCTCAAGTAGACCACCGTCTCCACGATCGCCTTCCTCATCTATTTCAAATTTGTTTATAATTTGCTGACAGCTTGCCGAGATTTGTTCCTTTAATTCGCCTTTACGACGATTGCTACCTTCGAGATCGGAGCTGGTATAATCTGAAGAGTCGCATGAGTCAGACCATGTATCCTCACTGCTCAAGTATTCGACGATTTCACGTACCTGTTCGTCATTTATGCCAGGCACTGTTTTCATCAGGCGTGTAAGCTCATTCTCGAAGTATGCTAATTGTGGTCTTGTCTTCATGCGTCGCACAGAAATAGGTGTGGTTTGATTGGGTGTTGTACCCTTTGAATTATTCGCAGAACCATAGTTTTGCTGCGCATTGGCAGTGGCGACCACAAGTGTTTTGAAAAACTGACGCATCTTTGACATCATCAAGTTGGTCTCTTCATCCGAGCTCCAGTTGTTGAAACTATCCTTTCGTACCAAACTTGCATTGGCTGTGGGTGGCAGTGGTGGCTTGAGTATAAGCCCATCTGGTTGCAGAGTTGTTGTTGAATCATTCGGTGTTGTTATACGCACCTCGGGTAAAACGATAGTTGAACTGGTGGCGTTTAGTCGCGATTCTTTGACCTCTTCTATCTGTTCCAGCGCTGTGGGCGATTTAGAACGTACTGCCGCACTGGTCGTTGGCAATTCGGTTTCGGGAGATTTAAGCAGATCATCATTGCTTCCTACAAAACCGCTATCACGGCTATGATGTTGTTGTTTTTTCGCTTGTGCGCTGCTAATTGAGCCGGGTGTGGGCGTGCGACATTCAGCATTTGCCCCACCTGATTTACTAGCATCCTCGGCAGAGTCATGTAGCTTCTTCTCATCCAAAGAGTCATGACGCTTACGCACTTGCTTCTTACGTTTTATCGTATCCGAAGAATTGCTCTCGAACGCCTTCTCGCCACCACTGCTTACATGCAGCACAGTGTCATCGAATGCTTCCGATTCGGAAGAGTCTAATAGATCGCTGGCAGTGGATGGCATAAGACTCGGCTCGAGTGAGTCAGCAGGCAAGGATTGCGAATCGACCAGCAGATTGTCCAATGAGGAATTATGTGAACGTGGTGTGCCACGTGCACGTACCAAACGTTTACGCCGCTGACTGGGACTAGGGTGTCCTTCACTATCACTGCCCACGCTACCACTTTCGTCGGATTCATTTTTCTCGCTTGCGCTGAAACCCATAAAACCAGAAAGAAAGTACTTCTCCAAACGCGATGATGCGAGCTCTGCGGCGCTATTACTATCATTTGCATTCTCTTCTGGTACACCAAGCGAATCTAGGCCTTCCGAGCATTCACTGCTCACTTCAGATGCTGTGTCGTCGCCACGCGTGTCAATCGAGCTCATCACTTTGCCGTCACCCAGATCGAAGAAGAAATACTTTTCCAAATCGGAAGCCGACAAGCGATTATGATGATTGATGGTACGTTGTCTGCGTCGCTCTAGCTCATCCAACTCCTCACCGCAATCTTCAGCGCCACGCAATGAGGCGACTTCACTTTCTTCACAACTCTCCTCCACTATCGTATGTAAAGTGAAATCAATAGTAGAACGATGATAGCCACGCAATTCCTCTTCGCGATCGATAAACATGCCATTCGCCGTAACGGTGTCTTCGCCACTTAAATCCTCCGAATCGGATGCAGTTGGTGTCGTGTCATCACCAAAATCTTCATCACCACGATGACTGATTTCCTCTACCCACGAGTCATCGTCCGCCAGACCATCTTCCAAGCAAACAGCTTTCGTTTTCGAGTTATCCTCATTATCTAGAAAATCTGCATCGTCGTCTTCACCGGCTCTACTGCTGCGACCGCTGCCACGGCCATTCGAAAGATTGTCGAAATCTTCCTCTTCCGAATCACCGTAGATAATCTTCTGATCGCGTAGCAAATCTACAGTATTTACGGGAAAATGTGCCTGTTCACTGGCGTTCATGTCGTAAGACAACGTCACCTTACTATTATTGTTGTTGTTGTTAATCGTATTGCGAACAGCTGGCGACGACACATACAGCAGGGAGGAGGACGAGGAGGAAGGCGGTTTCAGTGAGTCATCAGCGCTATCTACTCTATTGTTATTAGTACTGCTGGCGTTTCTTGCGGCTATGCTGTGCACATCGCTGAAACTTGTTCTTTGTTGTGTAGAACCTGCGGGGGAACTACTAACGTGATTTGCATGACTGCTATTACTGTTCAGCGCGTTCGCTTCATAACCACTCAAACGTATAATGCTACCACCATTCGCACTGCTACCAACACAATCAGCGTCATCCATACCAACACCACCAAGTCGATTCTTGTGTGTTTGTATGGCTTGTTTTACGCGTGTAGCCGCAGATTCTATTGTCGTTATTGTTGTTGTTGTAGTAGTGGTTGCTGTGTTGTTGTTGTTGCCCACATGCGCTTTGTCTACAAATGCAACGCTGGCATTGCTGTTGGCCAGCAGTTCATTGTCGCTACCGATTTGTCCGTTGTCTTTTGTAATCATGATTAAACTGCGATATTTGGCCGAAAGTGAAGTAGAGGGACTCGCGGCTGTAGGTGAAGAATTGGCGTTGAATTTCGTGCGCGTAGTGGGTGCGGCCGCGTCACCAAAAATACTATCGAATTGTTTGCTACCACTAAAGGTTTCGTTGTTGACACTGAAATAGGGTGCGTATGTGGTGTGTACAGCTCCTGCGCCTGCAGTTGTTTCTACCGCTCCAACGTCGCGTTCAGCGTATTCCAATCGAGCGCTTGATGACGTTATAATGGGCGCTTGCTTTTGCTGTTCTTTTGAAACGTTTACGCGCTCGTATTCGTCGTCGTCGTATGTGCTTTCTGCTTGACCCGCGCGCCCGTCGTAACCGCGTTCACGTACACGCTCACGCTCGTAACCTTTTTCGTTAGCGTTTTCTATTATTTGGCTTTTCACTACCACCACTTTGGCGTTAACTTTATGATTGGCTTTTGTAACACTTTTATCGTTGTTGCTGTTGTTGCTATTATTCTCAATTATGCCTGATTTTTGTTGATTTTCGTTGTCTTCGTCGTTTGCACTTTGCGCCGCTTCGCACTTTTCCACACCTAAAACACACGCGCTTACACTATTACTACCAACTTTTGTGTTGATATTATTATTTGATTTATTTTGCACTATCTCCGCTTCGAGCGATTTATCTTCTTCACATTGATTGCTGTCGTTTTCTTCGTTTTGTGCTTGTGCACTTTGCTTGTCGCGAATTTGTAAAATTGCACTGCCACTTTGTGTAGAATCTAACAAAACAACACCGTTATTATCAAACTCACTATCACCAGCACCGTCACCGTCGTTGCGGTCTTTCGCGTTTAACATTTCATTTTCAACTAAACACAACGAGTTGGCCAAAACACTAGCGGACGCTGCGCGTATGACTTCCACGGCCGCTGTCGCTCGGTCCGAACACGTCGACACGATGTTAGCCACTTCATTGACGGTATTGTCGGCGTTGTTGTTGTTGGTGGATTTAGTGACATTTCCATGTTCGTGCTCTTCAAAGTTGTGAATTATTGCTGTTGATGTTGATATCTCGTCTGGCGCGTCACTCACCCCGCTCTCACAAACACGCTGACGCTCTTGTGCCGTTTCAATAATTTGCAATCTTATCTCTTCAGCTACCTGCGCGCACTCTTTCGCTTCCAGTGTTGGATGCCAAGCCACTGCTGCAGTTGACTGTGCTGCCGCGCCGTCGTTCAGCATTTGTGTAGCTCGGTAAACAATTTGCTCAGGTGTTTTATGCTTTTGCTCGTCGGTGTCTGCAAGTGCACTTGTGGTGCTTGTTGTTGCTGTTGTTATGTTATTAGTTGTAGTTGCTGGCATACTCGTTGGCTCTAGCGAGTCCATAAAGCAGCCGGAGAGCGATTGCGGCGGCGCTAGTTCATTAGTCGTTTTGCACGCTTCGCTGAATCTTCCCAGCCATGCTGGTCGCTGGAGTGGCTGTAAGTACTCTTCTTCGCTTTCGTCATCTACTACTGCTTTTTCTTCACCTTTATCTTTTACTATGTTTTCTTTGTGTTTGTATTCTATATTAGCACACTGCTCAGCTGTTCGGCTCGTACCTGTACCTGTTTTCTGTTTTTGCAGCTCGTTCGCGCTTAGTGTTGTTGGCCTTTTATTTGGCGGCAGCACCCCGTCGTCCAGCGGCTCATTTACATGCGCTTCTTCAATTTTATTATCTCTTTGAAGTGCCTTTTGTAGCTGCTTGGTAGTTGTTGATATTTTCTTGTTTTGCTTTTCTTTTAAGTTTGCCGTTTGTGTGCTATTATCTTCGCCTTCTTTGTTTTCATCACAAACAACAATGCGATTATCGTCTTTCGGCACCGTAGTATTGTCAGCGTTTTGTTGTTGTTGTTTTTGTTCTTCTGCTTCCATTTCAGTCACATTCAGTGTTTCTTTTTCAATAGAATCAAATGCGTGCTTCTCGGAAGTCTGGCGCTCTTTACCTGTTTCACCAACCTTAGAGGCAGTCAAGCGGTACGGCTCACATTCAACACCTTGGTCCGCCTTCATTGCCTTTTCTGCATTTTGTTGTTTTGCAGCTCGTTTTTTCTCAAGCACTTTTTCATTTTGATTTATTTCTGTATTTTCTTTCACCACTTTGGCGTATTCCTGTGCCGCGCTATCGTTGCGCACGCTGTTTGCTTTGTTGCTGCTCGCCTTTCCCACCACTTTGACCGCCTCGTCTACACTCAACATATTTACATTCGCTGCAAGTACTTCGTTGCCACCAATAATTGCTTCCCCCTTTGTTGTAGTCGCAATCTTTGTGTTGTTTGCTGTTGTTCTAGTTGTTTCTGTATATGTTGTAGTAGCACAACCTGTTTGCAAACTATTTTTAGTTTCATGCACAACCATATCGCACTCGTAATGCTGTTGGCGCTGTGCTCGCGTTTCGTCGCCGCGTGCAAAACCAACTGCTGTCAGTGGTCGCGCACCGCTCACCTCGTCGCCGCTAACACTGTACGCGTCCCTATTAGTTGCGTCATCATTGCAACCAGCAACAATATTGCGCGCGTCATCGCTTTTGTGCGCTTCTGTATTGTTCTCCGCCGCGCCATTGTCGTCATCGCTTAAGCCGCGCTCAGGTGTCATCGTCGCTGTAGTAGGCGAAGAAGACTTTGAAATGCTATGCGACGTAATTGTAGTAGCGGATGTGTAATCCACCAGCGTTGCGCTACTTAGTGCGTCCTCAGCATTAGTGGCCAAAGACAGATGGTCTTTGTTGATTTCTTGTACGCCGCGTCGTAACTTTTGCAATTTTAGTTCGAGCTCGGAGTTCTGTTTTGTCAGCGTCAATAAGCGATTAACGTCGTTCGAAATGCTGTGCAATTCGTCGCAGGCTTCTTGCGTGTCTATTTCCCAATCGTGTGCAGTTGTTGGTGCGCTTCTGCCAGCGCCATCAGCGTGCATCAGTGTTTCGTTAGTACCTTCAAAGCACTTGTTTGTTGTTGTAGTTGCGCTGGATTCAAACGAAATCGTTGGCGCATCTGTTTCATTATTTGTGTTTGTTATGGCATGTTTTGGCATTGCAACAGCTGTTTTGCTATCTAAATCTGTTTTAATTTCTACTTGATTTTTTGCTGCCATTGTTGTAAGATCTGCTTTTATTTTTGTTGTTTTTTCGTTTGTATCGGCGTGCGCTGTTGTTAATTGCTCTAATTGTTGCGTTATACGATCGCTTGATTTTCTGCATTGCATGTGGCTTTCTTCAGCGTTTTTGTTGCTTTCATTGTTTTTGCCTATGTATTTGTGGCCGTTGGCGCTAGCCATGTCTGTCTCACTTGCCACTTTCTTGCTAACTGTGCCACCAATAGCGCGCGCTCTATTACTACTGCCCGACGCCGCCGCCGTGGTCTTTTTACGTTCACGTTCACGTTCGCGTTCAATCAGCGCTTGCCGTTCCGCCTCTTCGTCGTTCAACAGTCGCATCGCATGCAACACCACACCGCCATTACCGTTTGCTTCATTATCGGTTTCGCCGCCAACGACAATAATACAATTGGCAATCTCATCGGCCGAAGTTGCCACATATTTGCCAACAGCATGTCCGCGTTCACTTTTAACTGCATTGCACATACGATTATTAGCGGCAACATTATCATCATCATCATTGTCGCTTTGATACTCAGCATCATTATGCGCATTCCGTTCATTGTCGCTTGTGCTTGTATCATCACTCTCACTTTCATCCGTCATATGCCAGCCGCTGGCCGTTGCGCCCGCCTCCTCCTCACTAATGACCTTCACCGAATTCAAGACAATACCACAATCGGGGCGCTCTGTGTCTGTATCATTGTCGGATGAGTCTTCGAGATTGGCATCCGATGATTGTGAATCATTTTCGCTAGATGTTGAAACGCCACGTCGTCGTTGCGCCCGTGGCACACGATTCACTACGAATACTTTAGAGAAATGTTTGCTTTTGGGTCGTCTATCGGCTATAGTGCCAGTGTCATCAGTGTCGATCGACTCGGAAGAACTCGAACTATTGGTTGTTGTGTTTTCACTGCTCGTATTGGTATTCTGATCTTTCGTGGAAGTGGCGGAACTACGTGAATGTGTGCGTCTAACGCGCGCATATGGTTCACCAGCGGTGCTGGTCGCCAACACATCGCCATCCTCATCATCGTCCAAATGACTGACAATGAGCGCTTCGATACCCGCAACACTAGCGATGTCATAACTGCGCTGCACAGAGCGTCGCGCGCTGGACGCAGCTGCTGTGGCAGTAGAGGTGTGACTCTTTGACTTATATTCCTTTTTGTTATTGTCACTCAAATCTGTGTCTGTATCGCCACTATCTGCCGATTCGGCATCTGAAGACGAGAATACATTTTCGCTTTGTAGATAGCCGCCTGCCGTTGTGGCATCGCTCTTCAATTTACCAATCGAAATCATGGCGCTATAGGATTTCGTTTGTTTGCCGCGTTTCTTTGAAATATTACTGTATTGCTGGAAGATTGCTTGTTGGTTTTCGAAAAGATTTTCCTCTTCCTTTAGTGGTATTAACAAAAGTAATTCGACATTTTCCTGCAGCTGTTCTGATCGTTCTGTTGTAGTTCTGGTCGCCTTCACTGCAGTCTTACAAGTGCCCGCTTTAGTGTTCAGACAATAACTAGTTTCAGCTACGCGCTGACGCTTGCTGCAAACTGCGCTGTTGGCAGCGCCTTGCTCAATTCCTTTCACGTCTTCAACGGCGCTGTTGGCGTCATGCACATAGTTAGTTGTCGCGCTGCCGCTGTGCGCTTTACCAACATCGCTATTTCCGCTCCGCGAAACAACCACCTTTTCCTCCGTGTCACCGTCGTCAGCGCTTATGCGCACAGTGTTATTTTTGCTACCAGTGGTGTTGTGGTTAGTCCAAGTGGTAGTCGTGGTGGTGGTGGAATTACTATAAGTGCTGGCGTCCCCGCTGTTCGCCAAACGAGTTCTTGCCGCTACGTTATTGTTGTTGGCTACCTTAAGTTTATATTGATTTTGTTTGCCTGCTGTCGCTTTTTCTACTTCAACCGTGTGTCTACAGCATTGCGCCGCCGGACTTGTGCTTAAGCTTTGCACACCGTCGCTTAGCTCGTCGTCGTCATAGCAATACGGCGTCGCCGCTGCTTGTTCTGCTAAGCGATCGCTGCTCTGACTTCGGCTTCGCGCTGATGCTGCGTCCGATAGTCGCGCTGTCGAATTTACTTCAACGCCTGTGTCTTTTCTTGCTACACCTTTTGTTGTTCTTTGCAAGGCAATTGGTATGGTTGATGTTGGTTTTGTTGCTTTTACGACTTGTTTGGCGGCTAGCGCGTTGTTTTTTGTTTGTTTTATATTCTGGTCACTCCGTGACGACGACGATGACGATGACGATGATGACGACGACGCCTCATTCGCCTTTTCAACAAGCGCGCTGCTCCACTCTTTGTCTGTGTCACTATTAATATTAGTTTTATTTTTATGGTTTTTGCTATTGCTCTTATTGTTGTTGTTGCTGTTGTTCTTGTATTGTTGTTGTTGGCGCACTATGTTTGCTGTGCGTATGGCAGTACAAGTTTTAACATAGCCGCTGTTTGTTTCGTCGCGGCCTACCTGTCCGCCTGCAAGTTTTTCTTGCAAATGCGCAAACTCGTTTGGCTCCAAAGTTTTTTCAGCTGTTTTTAATGATAACCTTTGCTGTTGTTGCCGTTGTTGTTTGTTGTTTTCTGGGAAACGATGACTAGCGTTATTAGTAGATGTGCAACTATTTGCTAATAACTGCCATTCAGCGGCGGCTATATCCTCTTCTATGCCCTCAGCGTCCTCAGTGCTCTCAAAGTTGCTGTGCTTATCAACTGATGCGTTCGCGGAAACTTCGATATCAACGTTTTTTTGTTGTAAAAGCTGCTGCTGCTTATCGGTATTTCGCGCTCGACTCAGTACTTTTTTATAATCACTATAGTGAGTTGTTGTTGCTCTTGTTGTGCGCTGACCATCTACAAATGTGGGCGTTTCATTTTCAAGTGTTTCACACGCGTTCACTTCAGCAAAAACGTGTTGATCCGTCTCACTGAATACACGACTCGAACGCGTCGACGGTTTTGTTGCTACTAATATTGGTGGTTCGCGCAAACTAAACGCCAACTGTTCGCCGCATTTAGTTTCAATACTGGTGTAGTTGTTGCCGTTGTTTGTGTTGGTATAACTTTGTGTTTTGTTGGTTTCTTGACTGACAGCTGTGGACTGTTGCTGCACCATTAGTGTATTGGTGGCAGTATTGTTTGTGGTTTGTGAGCCAAAGTTGTTGTTATTATTTATATGTTGTTGTTGGTAAATAGTTTGCTGCTGCTGCTGCTGTAGGCTGTTTGCCGCAAACCGGCTCAAACTACCAAATTCACCCAAACCACTGCTGGTCAATGTTTCCAAACTGCCAGCTGTGGCAGTTGTGCCATACCCTGATGACGAACCCTGTGAGTACATGGAGGCGCTCAGTTCTGGCGTCGACGACTTGAAACCGGCGCGCGCGAGTCTTGCCTGCATACCCAACAAAGGTCCGCCACCACCTTCATCAACAGTTAGTTCACTAGATTTGCCGGCGCTCAGTTGTTGATAGGTTGCCGCATTCGAATAGGCTGCCACCACTGCCGCTGCAGCGGCTGCTTGTAAATTGGTGGCCGCTTCGTCGGTCTGCTGTGCCAAACCGGGACCTGCTGTGCACCAGAGCTTCTGCAGAGAGGCGCGCAATTGCTCATCTTTATCCATAATGTTAAGTATGTCTGAATGGCTGGCGGCATGCGTATTAGCTGCGCCCTTCAACAGTTCGTTGGGGTGCCAGCTGTGAAAGGCGGCCATGGGCACTGGTATCGGCACCGGCACTGGTATGGGCACATATTGCGGTTGTGGCTGCGGCGGTGCAGCAAGCGGCACTTGTGTAACGCCGCCACAGCTACAGACACCTAGTGGCGGTGTAGCTGAGCTCTCCTGTATTTGCTTGGCTGTGGCATGATGATGATGTCGATAGTGATGATGATGATGGTGATGCTTGCTTTCTTTGCCCACAAAACGCGTTTTGATGCGTGTCTTCACGCTCAACTGATGATGTTGCTGTTGCGGCTGCTGCTGTTGATGCTGACGACCAGTCGCATTGCCGTTTGGCGTGACGGCGGTTGGTGCACGCACAAAATAGCCATCGGAGCTGGTTTGTGAAGAACTTTCACCTTGCATGAGCAGCTCCTCATCGGTGCCGGTGTCACTTTCGCGTATGCGCGGACAATAGACAAGCGGTTTGCGGTAAAGTAGTGGCGATTCGGTGGGCGAGGCGGTGCTCTCGCTAGACTTGAAGTCACGCGTTATGGCGTTGCGACGCGTGACCAACGGCGAGGCGCATGGTGAGTAGATGATTTGTTTAGTTATGGAACCGCTGGTGCAAATCATTGATGGCTCAAAGTAATCCCAATCACAATCGTCTATGGTAATGCTGCTGTAATTGTGTGTGGATGAAGTGGTGGAACTGCTATCCTCGAACTCCTCATCCTTGCCGGAAGACGATGAGTCGGAGGAATTAATGAAGACGAGTTTAAATTCTTCAGCATCCACATTGTAGTGTTGGTGATTGAATGTTATCGATTTTAATTCCAATTCCGAAGAGGTTTCCATGTCGTAAACATCTGTGCGGATTGAAAGGAGCGTGGAAAGCGGTCAGTTGCAAGTATTTGTTGAATTTGCTTACAAAGGTAAGGTTTAGTTAGCCAAAGCCCGTGTTGTACGAGTGAGTAAATACATTGCCTTTACCGTTTTTTGTTTTTTTTTTCAAGTATACCATTTATGAGTAAGTATTATGCACTTTAATAAGTTCCACCATTTTTAGAAGTATTTTTCTTAGATGCCGTCACCGTTTTTGTTAGTTAATGGTATTTGTCATGAACTACCAACACCAGAATTTTTTTCTTCTACTTCACAGTTATGTATAACATTTTTAAATACACTTAACATTTAATATAGGTTTTTTATTTTAAATACTGATAATATTTTACAACAATTTTTACATAAAAATATTAAGAAAATTATTTACCATAAAAGCGATACACATGGTGGAAAATTAATCATAGACATTTTTAGTAACAACTGGGTTCTATGTTCGCAATATGTGATGAGTCAGTACACGTTTTTAACATTTTAAATGTTTATTACGAAAGAATGTGACTTTTGTAAATTTAGTTTTTCTGCCATTAGTGAATGCATTAGTATTTTTTTACCTTACAAATAAACTTAGTGCCAAATAGATGTTATTCTGTTAAAAAGCGAAGAATTAACTGTTAAAGCTTTCATTAGTTGTGTTGAGCAAACAAAGTTAGGTTAAAGGGTTTTCACCGCTTATAAGTTAAAAAAATCAACTTGTTTTGCAAATATATCGAATATACATATTGAGAATATTCTCTGAAAACTTTAAAATGATCCGGCTCATTTCGGAGATATTTGTAAGAACTTGTTAACTTACTTTAATTCAAAAATTAATTTAATTTAATAATTTAATAATTAAATTAATTTTTCTTGAAACGCGCTTTTCAGAGTCGGCGAGGAATATTTAGTTTTTATGATTTGCAAGTGGATATTACCCTTAAGTGAAGTTACCACATAAACGTTATGTAACTAATGGATAAATTTAGAAAGTTTAGGCAAATTCGTGTGGTTTACTGGTCTTATGTGAAGGTTTTTCATGACTTTCCTTTTTTATGTAAACCAAGCATGAACTCAGGTCCAGCGTATTGGTAGTAAGTATTTCTAACCACTGTCTTCTCCCAGTTAACATGATTTTTTACTAGGGAAGATACTAAAATTTTTGTATACTTGGTAAAGAGGTATGTATACAATGACAAACAAAATCTCCTGACGAAGGGATAAAGTGAGTAGAAAATAATTTCAGAAACCCAGAAAACAATAAGTATCCGAGACGACTGATGGGTATTACGCCCAAATACAAAATAACCTAATTTGTCTAGTTCTTTCATTAAACACTGTATCTATTGTAATTAGAGTGAACAGTTGAAATTTTTGAAAGAGGCATTAATACATAATAAATGTTTGCGCTCTACTCTCGCTAAAACACCTGTTTTTATGGGCTATGTGCTTGACAAAGTACGAAACCACTAAAAATGTAGATAAGGGTAGCTTATTACTCATAAGCACTCACATGTAGTATGACTTGCGTATAAAATTAAATATAGGTATAGTGTATACTGATATGATAACTTCATAAGTTTTAGAGACATAAGCTCATATTGTCTTTATCAGACAAAATTATGGAAGAAGGGGAATGGAAGATGGAAGAACAATAACAAAATAGTGAAAATGTGTTTATTTTGTTATGTGAAATATGTTAGTTTTACTTCTTTTTGTATTAAAAATAATGTACTTATTTAACTAAAAAAACGTGTGCCAAAAAAGTAGTTGGACAAATAACATGCAATGGCAAAATATTAAGCAATATTTATTACTTGTTTAAAAATTTCCATTTGATTTGCTTTCTTTCTCATTGCAAGGTCCGATTTTATTCATTGTTGCCTTCAAAATGGGGCGCCAATTTCACAACGCTGATAATTTTTATTTTGTTCAAAATATTTTTGACATGAGAATTATTAAAATTATAAGAGTATTTTAATTTTTATTTTTTTCAAATTTGTCCCGTTACTTTATTCGAACACATAGTGTGAAATTAAAAAAAAATAAAACTATTCTACATTTACTATAATTCTTTAAAAATAATATAATAAAATATTAAATCGATATTTCTACATTTTTTTTAGTTACATAGTTCTAAAGCGTAGCCGCTCAGTTCAACCAGCTCCATTAGTTTATCTTTACACTCGTTTTTCTCATAACTACACTTTTTAAATTTGCTTGGGTGTTTACTCGTACACAAATAATCATTATAAAATTTTTTCTGCTAATTCTGTGTATAATTTTTCTTACAATGAACTAATAAAAAATTTAATTTTGACAGGCTAAAAAGGGCTAACATTTTGGGTAAAAATTCAACATTTCTATTTAAACGCCACCATTTTGTAAATTTTAATTTTCTTTTGACCGTAAGTCATTGGACGGATATTATCTTCTAGTAGTCATTTTTTTTAAGGTTTCATGCACGGAGAAGACCGGAATCACTGCAAACGTGGAGGACCTTTTTTGTTAGCGCTGTCGGAAATTGCGTTTAACTCAAAAAATATGTATTTTTTTCAAACTTTTACTGTGTTTTCTTAAAATACATATGTATAAATATACCCTTAAAATTTTAAAACTATTAATATAGTAGCCTTTTTTAATTTCCCAAAAATCGCCTTTTTTAGAATATTATATTCGGTATGCCTCATGATATATTATTTACCCATTGCTATATGTAATAACTCTGTATAATTATTTAGAAAAGTTTAGTGAACAAAATGATTACACCTTTCTTTAACATATTGCAAAAGTATAAAAATTATGAATTTCATGAGAGTTACATATGTGTACAGGATTATAAATGTCGCAGTTGCTGTGAATTCAAGGAGTAAGTAGATATAATTGCCAAAGTTTCTGTACTTACACCAACATATATGGGTGTGTATTTAAGAACATCCCTTAAGCCATTTGATAGCTTGCGACAGGTGTCATAAAGTGCTTTTATAGCTTTCGAAAATTGTAAGCGAATTTGTAAGTGATACTGTAAGACATATGTGAGCTAACATAATATTTTTACGGAAGGAGAACAACAATTATGACATTGTAGCTGACAAAATATGAAAGTAATTGACGGATATATCAATTTAAGTTAAGTTGTTTTAAGAACCAAGGAAGAAAATTCAGCACCATCATCAGCAAGGTAAAGTTGTTATGAATTGAGTTTAACTCAAACCTACACAGCATTTATTTAAGAAAAATACAAGACGTTAACTTCGATTGCAACGAAGCTATAATACTATAATACTATAATATTTGGGAGCTATGTGGTTCGATCTGAACAATTTCTTTGAAGATGGTATCGTTGCTTTAAATAATAATCCATGCCAATTTTCGTTTTCCAACCAAAACTTGATTTTGACCGATTAGTTTGTATGGCAGCTATATGCTAAAGTGGTCCGATGTTGGCAGTTCCGACAAATGAGTAGCTTTTTGGAAAGAAAAGAACATGTGCAAAATTTCAGAGCGATATCTCAAAAACTGTGAGACTAAGCCGCGTATATACAGAAAGACGGACAGACAGACATGGATAAATTGACGCAGCTCGACACTCTTCCCGTTTATATGTGTAGTATATACCTATATAGGTCTGCGGCAATTCCTTCTGGGTGTTACAAACTTTATGGCAAACTGAATATACTATCGTCATGGTATAAAAATATAAAGGCCTTTGTACAATTCTGAATATTTGCAAATTTTAGGGATCATTGATTACGGAAGTATTAATTCTCATTTAAAAGTACTTATATAATGTGATGGAATCGAAAAAAGTGTATCGGGATTTGACGAAAGTGCAATATGTCCAAGTGTGATCTCCACGAATTAACTATAAAATATAATTGGACTAAAGCCACCATAAGTTTGTTGAACAGTTTCGCATAAAATAAGTATATAATAGTCCAACTGGAGCATCAGCTTAAAGTATTATCAATTTAAAAGACTGCTTGATGATTGAAAACTCAAAGACGAAATGTCCTTAGCTCCCCTTCATAACAGTTCTAATGTGGAAGATACACTAAATATCACCCAGAATCTGTGAGGATTATTTAGAAACCATCGATTTGGGTAGCAAGCCTCAAGATCAATTATCTATATCTCTCGATATTCAAAAAGTGCTTTCCCATTTAGTGCGAAAAATAAAACCATGCAATATATTCCCAAATTTTTTTGAAAGCCTAAATAGTCATGGACGTTTTCCGGTTCCGTTTAGTTTTTTATTGAAGTGAAATTAAGAGAATTTCTGCAGAACTTGAATGTAATCCAACGGGAACAAATAAGGGCAATGTCATTGATGTTTCGATTCTACATATAAAAGAAAAACTTGGTTGAGTCTGTATGGAATGTTTATACATATATCCACAAATAATAATTTATCATTGAAATGGTTGTTCCAATCTTAACTACATTTACCCATATACTTTGGGCAATTGAAAATTATTCAATTGGACTGGGAATGGTTCATTTAAATTTCGCCCACAAACCGAATCGATACATTTTTTTCCTATATTAGTACAACCTTTTTTTATGTTCGTGCAAGGTTTCATCTCTTTCTGTTGGGCTTTTGATTACGACGCGAAAAGTTTATCAAAAAGTTGCAGTTTTGGGGAGTCTACTTTTTTATGAACATACATAGCTATTTTAATGTTTGAGAGCATCATAATGACGACAAGATAGATAAAGTAAAAGAAACAGTGCTTGAAAATGGTTGCTTCGGCATCACAGATACAGCAGAGGATCTCAACATTTCTTACGGATCCACTCAACACGTCGTAAAAGAGATGCTTGACAACGTAGCGGAGGACTGACGCGACGTGGTTTTATGAATATGACTATGCATATGAAACTATCAAACAATCTAGCGAATGATGCTTCAAAAATGAGGCGAAACCGTGAAACCAAAAAGTTGCTAAAAGCTGACATTCAGTGCTAGCCGAGGCTTAGAATAAGTGTATTGAAATTAAATTAAGCGTTAGCATGATTATATTGGTGTAAAGTAGTCAACTACGATGATTATAAATAGTTTTCCCATTTCAGTAAGTTTCTTAAGATTTATATCTTATTTTCTTAAATCTCTGATATAATTCGCTTTATTAAATTTGAAATCACAGCAGTTGTATACGCATGTAATTAAAATGTGTTACAGCATACCATTATGTTGTTAGGACATTGCTTGCTGAATGCAGGCATACATGACCGAATGGAATGTCATTTCTATACAGAATAATTGTGGTATGAGTGACAGCAACAAAGAAATGTAGAAAAGCGCATGACAATTGGCTTGACATTTTAAATATAACATATGTATGTACATATGTATGTATGTATATAGGGATGCGATTAAAATAGTTAACATATTTCCTGCAGAACTACGGAAAGCACGAACATTAGCAGACAAATATGTTGTATGTATGTATATATATATGTAAATCTGTAAATCTGTATTTGCATTTTAATTTAATTATGACAATTTTAAAAATTTTCTGAATATACATACAATAAATGCGGTCAGTATTGTCACTAATATATACATACATATGTTGATAATTTTTCAGAGTACCAAGCGAAAATAAAATATTCGTTTTTTGAAACCCCCGTAATATACATAAGTATGTTTATTTTTATTAAAACTTTTTTGAGGAACTGGTCCTCAGCTAGAGCAAAAACTATGATTTTTTCCTTAATTCTCTCTTACTCTTTACGCTACTATGTAATATTAGAAAAGTACAAATGTAACTTCATGAAAGTGCACTCTCACCATAACCACCACCAGCTACTTCGCCAGAGTACAGCGACAAGTGTTTGCCAAAAGTAATTAACGGTTAAGTACAAACGTGAATACAACACCAACACCGTGCATAAATAAGTAAGCGCATACTAAGTGTATGAATTTGCAAAAGAAATGCAATCAAAGTTAGACACTTACCCTCCTCAGCTGCCTTCTTCTCCTGCCGACGCTGTAGTACGACTTTCTTGAAGATGACGGCGGCCGCTTCAACAGCATTCTGGATCTCTTGTTCGCCCAGAGTGGTTGTGTGTTGCTGTAGTAACGGTAGAAAATTTGTAAGTGAAGAGAAGTTTGAGTTTTGAATAATAAATAGGAAAAAAGTATTGACTTCGGTTGCACCGAAGCTATGATACCCTTTACAAATAAAAAAGTTTACATACAAAAACTTGATTTTCATCCTGTCGGAAATTCTACCATTGCCTGGGATAATAATTCATGCTAAAATTCGTGCAGATAACTTGTCAAATGAAACAATTTTCCATACAAAGAAATAATTCCGATTGTTTATGTTGTATGGCAGCTACATAACATATGTTATAGTAGTCCGATCTCAGTGGTTCCGACAAATGAGCTTCTTCTTCTTCTTTGAAAGAAAATGACGTGTGCAAACTATCAGATCGATATCTCAAAAATTGAGGAACTAGTTCGCGTATATACAGACAGACAGACGAACATGGCTAAATCGACTCAGCTCGGCACGCTGATCATTTATATATGTATTTTTATGGGATAACCGACGTTTTCTTCTGGGAATTACAAATTTCGTGGCAAATTTAATATACGCTCTTCAGGGTATAAAAAAATTAAAATAAGCAAAAAGTCCTATTAGACAGTGACTTTGTGTGCTTGTAGCTTGATGCTGCGACTCGTGTACTCGTTGACTTAATTATGTTGCAGCAGTAGTGAATCCTTTCATATATACTGTCAATTATAACACGTGCGGCCAAGTCTGAGTAACAAAATCAGCAAGAAGCAATAGCCAAAAGAGACAACAACAACCAATAGCATGACAATAACTTGCGCTTAAATGCTCAACGCATGTATCATAACCTCAACTACCCACCTTGGATACTGTCGCCTTGCCCTCTATAGCGGCGCCTTTATTGCTCTCTGTCGTGTCATTTGTTGATTTCTTTACTTGTGTTTCTTCGGCAGTTTTTGTTTGGTTGTTGGTGTTGTTATTGTCCTTTGCTGCTTTGCTATTCTCATTTATTTCCTTTTGTTGTTCGGGTGATTTGTTGTTGCCATTTTCTTTTATTTGCGAAAATTGTGTTTTTTGTTCATTGTCATCCTGTTTTTTACTCGCCGTTGCTGACTTGAGGGATAAATCGGAGTTTCGTCTTTCGTTCGAATAGGGTTTGCTGGTGCCTGCGGAGAGAGGTGTAAGATATTTAAATTAAGACAAATATACATAAAGAATTAAGCAAATTTTGGTATAAATCTACATTTGTTTTAAAATAATTGCTTCAAGGGTGGATTATTCTTATTTCGTGTAAAACAAGGCCCATTTTTCTGATTTTTGTTTTTCATACTTGAGAATTTTGCATTCAAATAGGACTAAAAAACAAAATTTGCAAAACCCTATTCTCCTCTTAAATTATGTAACAAGGCAAGGTTTTTATTTTGTCCATTTCTTTGCTTAGTGCTTTCAAAATAATGTACTAAACGGTTGTCAAATCAACGATAGCATAATTGATAGGTAGTTCGCTAGAATTTTAGAATACTCAGTAATGGTTTTTTTTTATTATATTAAATATACTGATTGTTTTTGGCTTTAAGTCGTATCTAATAGATATTTAAATCCTTTTCTATTAAAATCAGAGTCCTAAATCCCTAAAAACATGAAAAATGTTATAGCAACCTTCTGCTAAGGAATGAAAGAAGAATGTTCTCAGGAACATATTTGGATTGGATCGCTAATTACTGCCCACGCGATAATATTCTCCAAAAGCTTTTAAGTAATGTTCTACCCTAGTACTAATTCCAGTCAATATTATTAAGTTTCCTATAGCATAATGCAAGCTACAAGAGCTACGTCGAAACAAAAGAAAATTTTCTTGGTTCTTTTTGGCAACTTTCGAGAATAGATATAGGCGTAAAATGAAAATATTCTAGGATATTTGCTACATAATACGAATATATATTAGTGAAATAAGTATGAAAAGGCCTTTAGATATCGGACAATAGCACTTTTACTGGAGACTTGAAATACGATAGTAATTTTTCAGCAAAATAAAAACGTAAGACTACCGATAATTTGACATTTTAACTACATTTTATTTTATACTCGAACTTTAAACATGACCCATATTGTATGGGATCTGAGATATTTGCTGATTTTTAATGAAGGTACTGAGGTAAGGAAATATTGCCTTAAGCTGTCTGGTCAGCAACTCCAGTAATTACAAGGTACCTTTCTTAGAGTATATATCGTTCAGTTTGACACCCAAAACTTTTTGTTGTAAAAATACTATAGCATTAATGTTCCATCTGGATTTTAATTGTTTCATTCTTTAAAAATAATGGAACTCTTGATATCCGTTGAGGTTATTTTAAATGTGTACATCAGCTTTTAGCCTCGCAAAAAGTGACAGACATGGAAAAGTAAGTTCTTTGGCTTTATAAAAATCTCTCTACAGTTATGCGAATTGATATAAGCCGCCTCAACAAAATTGCCAATCATGAGGATCTGTTGAAATAGTTTTCGGAAAGCCCAAGGCCCTCCTGACATCCGTGGAGATAATCAGCTTAGTAAAATAACCTTTTATAATGTGGGAACCTTCGCAATGTTTATGGAGTATTTTACTGAATTCCACCCGAATCAGGATTTAGATCAGGTCAAGGATTGTTTGTTTAGCTGTATTATCCCAAGTTGTTTGTTGAACGTTCACTGCTATTACAACAACATGTTTAATTTTTTTCGCTTACAAAACCAAGTTCAATTCAACTACTGCAGCACAGCATATACTCTTAATTAACTGAATCCCACATATTTTACTCACCTTCTTCAGTATCAGCACCATTTGTGCCACGACTATTGCGACGTCGTGGTGTTGGGATTTTCGTATTAGTTCGTGTCTTATCTAAAATATCAGCCAAGGGTCTTGGGCTTGGTATTTTCGTAGGTTCAACTTTTTTGGATGCCTGAAAGTGTATAAAATGCAAGAAATTTTTATTTAAAAAATTTTCTAATGCCTATAATTACACATCTCACTTGTGTCTCCTTTTCGGGATGTGACAATGATCGTCTTGTGACTGGTTTTTGTGCACACGTTTTGGCACCATCTTCCGAGACCGAGCGCATTTGTTCGGGTTTGCGTCTTTCGTGTGTTTCGTGTGCCTCGCCATTCGCAGCTTTGCCACTGCCATTTGCAGCGCCCATTGCGGTGGGCTCTGTTGTACCTATACCAGGAGCTGATTGTCGATTCAGATGTGCAAGCTCTTCCTGTTGCATTTGCAATTCACGCGATTGTCGTCGCCGTAGTCTGTTGTGCATTTGCGGTGTGCGTGGTAATGCACCACCGCTGGCGCTCAGACCGGTAGTCAAAGGTTGACCACTCAAACCGCCATCTGGTCCATAGTAGCTATAGCTTTGATCATGTGTGCGTACATTCTCAGCGCTGTGTACTATGGGGTGTTGGTATTGTGTGTAGCTGCCATCGTCGGAACCATCATTATAGATGATACGCGGTTCGCTGCTGAAGCCCGCATTGTAATTATTCTCGTATTGCACCTCATCTGCCTCCAAGAAGCTGCTGGTGCTGTCGCCAAAATAGTCCATATATTCGGGGCGATTGTCCGCATCTTCAGCGAGATTTTGGAATTGGTTGAACTGGTGCTTGGCGTCGCCAAATGTGCGTGCATTTGAGTCAGGCGCATTGCTACGTTCATCTTTAACACAATCTTGACGCACCAAGCGACTAGGTGAGCGACTGTGGGGTGTAAAGGAAAGCAGATTTTGTTATAAGTTTGACACTTATATACAATATTTTGGCAATTACTTACCTGGCCGCGCGATTTGTGGGTATCTCCGGCAGTAAACGCCGATTCTCCGCGTGGTGCGGCTTGGTTATCGAGTACTCCTCGTTGCTGTGACTGCGCACCTTAATCATTTTGGCATGATCACGTGACTGTATATTGACGCTTTGACTGCTCGAGTACTGCTCACCAGCTGTATTGGTGGTGGTGGTCACTTCACCGCTACCCGCGCCAACGGCGGGCACATGTTGCTGCGATAAGAATTGTCGCGGATTCTGCACATTGGGAAAGAGAAAGTTTTGCTTGTGACGCGGTGAGAGCGGTATGAATTTAGCTTGTGACTGTCCTGGTGGCACCGAGAGCGAGTTTCCGCTGAAAGCTTCCGGATTCGGTAGGGTCTGTTGGCGCATAAACTCCGGCGAACGACGATATTGTGGCGAAGTTTGACGCTTTGGTGGCGAGGTGGGTAGCAGCTTGACATGTTGATCGGGATTGGGTAATGTAGCTTGACGCAACATACGTGGTTTCGGTACAACTTGTGTGTAGTCGCACTCATCCGTTGGTTGCGTTTGGCTCGCTTGTGGGTCATAGTTTGATTGGCATGTCTGCTGTGGTGGCGTCTGCTGCTGCTGCGTGGGTTGTTGTTGATAGATGATCGATCCTTGATAGTTGGGCGATGTGGGCAGCAATTTCCGGGGGTAAGGTTGGTTCAGCGGCGTAGTGCCTAAATTAAGATGGCTTTGCTGCTGCTGTTGCGTAGGTGGATCCGACATATTGCACGGGATGGAGGTTTGACGCATGAATGGCGGATAACGTTGCTCGCCCGGTGAACGCTCTGGTGAGCGACTGTACGAGCGATTTGGTGATGTCGACAGATACATGGGCGGTTGGCAGGGATTAGCCGGGAGGGTTGATTGTCTGCGCACCTGTGGGTGGATGGAAAAAATATATTTATATTTGTTGTTATAGACACATGGGCGTGTAGGCGATGTGTGAAAATGCAAATGTCTGTGGCATGCTCTGTTGGGTTTCATGGTCAGCATATGCGTACCTGTAGGCGATGATGCGTTTGGGGATTAATAACACTCTGCGGCTGTTGTTGCTGCGGTTGCGGCTGTATGTTCATAGGTTGTTGTTGTTGCATTTGATGTGGATAATTATCACATTCAGCTGCGCTCATGTGAATGACGTCATCACTGTTGTAAGCGCTCGGATAAATCGGACTTTTTTGCATTTGATGCGGCGATGTGGGCGCCGTAAGATTCACGTAATTATAATTGGCCAAATTGGCACCGCTACCACTCAGATTGGGATCGTTATTGGCCAGAGAGCTCGGTAGTGTCGATTGGCGTAGGACGCGACGTTGTGAATTCACCAAATACTCGGTTGTAGGATGTGGATGTGTGGTACCCACGCCGCTAATACCGATTGCGCTCCCACTCTGATAGGGGGCAGGGTGTGGCCTTTGTTGTGAGGTTTGGCGTATGAGTGAGGGGTAACTGCCAGCGGATTGTGATTCGATTAGGTTCTTTTGTTGTGGATAAAGATTGTCGCCGACGGGATTTTGTGGATTTTGATTATTCGAATCGTCTTCGGGGTCTGGAAAGAGAAGCATAACTTTAGCACTTTTCTGCAAAATGATTACAGAATTTGTATATTTGCAATAAGATGGATAACAATACGATTGTACAGAAGTTGAAGCGTATTAACATTTAAATAACTGGAATTTAATTATATGTCTATTTTTCTATTTTTTTGAAAGCTATTGCAGGCATTGATTATCTCATAAAGCTGTATAGGAGCTATAGAGAAGAGCTTGCTTTGGCCCTACGAAACCGTAGTCAAGCAAATAATGTTCTTTGGGGCTTTCGGCTGGTGAATAGCTGTAGAAAAGGTTGCACTCACTAAGAAGCTTGAACGAGTCTAAAGAGCGGCTCTCATAGCACCAGTGGATATTGCCGGCAAGTATTGAGCTCGCAAACTGTGCTCTCAAAGTTACTCAAGGAGCGTCTGTCCTCACTAGAAGTAGTATTAAACTAAATCCAGTCAGACCCAAATTGTTAGAACTGTATGGAAGAAGGGGAGGTGGAAACATCAAACATGTGATCGGCTCAAAGTGCTTAGTCGATTTATGTGTGTCTATATGATAAATTTTTAGAGTAGTTCTATGTACTACTACGGACCGGCGTTATAAGCTGTCCAAGTGAAATCCCTATTAGGAATGACTATTAAACCTGACCTGACCTAACTTTTCTATGTGTCTTCTCTTACTGCTAAAGACTAAGTACATGATATCCTCTTCAAAAGTCGTATTTTCATAACTGAAAATGATAACGCGTAAAATTATAGCAAAGGTCGATTTAATTGGAGTAGTTCGAAAATTAAAATTCAACCTACAGCTAGTTAAATTGAAAATAACTTGAGCTAATCACTAATAATCTATAGTGCATCCTTTCGTTCGATAACTCTTTTGCTATTTTGAACGTAATTTCGTAAAACTCATAAATACCCTCATCCCTATTGGCGAAAAACTAGAAGAGTCGTGTTGCTGCAATTTTAAATATTTCGAAAAAAACACAGTGCTGTTCTAACCTATTTTTATAAAATATTGCTATTATTTTGATATTATTTAAAAAGGAGGTTTTTTTAGACATGTAGTTTTCAAGAAGAAATAAAACGCATGTAATTTAATGTTTTGCCAAGAACTTAGTTTTATTATAAAGATAAGGGTTTTCCTTTATGTTTTAAAAATTATTTCAAGAAGTAACCGGAAGAAGCGGCTGGCTCGAATGAATTCGAGCAATTGGTTCGCAAGTCAGCAATAACTCGCCGAATATTCTCTTCCAAGGCGTCAATCATCTCGGCCTTATCTGCGTAGTCAAACGACTTGACATAACCCCACAAAAACTAGTCCAGCGGTGTTAAATCAAACGATCTTGGTGACTACGTCTGAGGTTTACGACACGAGCTTATGCGCTCACTAAATATTTCCTTCAACAAATTGATTGTTTCGATGGCTGTATGGCATGTAGCGCCATTTTGTTGGAACCAAAAGTCAACCACATCAACATCCTTCAATTCAGGTACGAAAAAACCATTAATAATGGCTATATAAATATATAGCAAATGTTTGTAGCATTATAGCTGGCTTCATTTTTGAAGAAATATGGACTAATGATTCTTTCGGCTCATAGGGCGAACAAACCATTTTTTTTGCTAATAAATTAACACAATTTGCGAAATAAGTCTGTTCATTTTGAAAAGGGAAAACAAACTGAGTATAAATCAAGAACCAGCTGTCAAAAAGACCAAATCGGACAAAAGTATTAACTCATTGAAAACCACACGTTTAAAAAGAAAGTCCCTGCATATATTATATGTATATATATAATACAGTGCTGTTCAAACATCACTTTGCTGCTTATTGCATAAGAGTAAGATTTTTTGTACACACAAGTCTAAAAAAAGTAAATGAAACAAAATAAACTTTTGAGCACAGTGCTAATTAAACAGCTGCTACAAATTTGTAGTATACTAGCTTGTTGCAAATACCTATTGGTATTATATTTATATTATTTGTATTATTCCATATCATATTTCACACAAACATAAAAACCCAAGGGAACTATAACACAGTGATATTCAAACATTTCTTTATACAATTCTAATTTACTATCTTGTTGCTTATAGTGCTTAAATTTGTATTATTTAATCAAAATTTCCCTGAAACACAAAATCACGAACGCATGTATAACACAGTGCTATTCAAACATCACTTTGTTGAAATTCATGTATTTATTAGTATATTATCATATTAGCAATTATATAACACAAACTCAAAAAATACTAGCCACAGTGATATTTAAACATCTTTTTATAAAGTACTATTTACAAGTATATTATTTCATATTAAACTTCACTCAAGCATAAAAAACACAAAATAGCTGTATTGTAACAGTGCTATTCAAACATCACTTGCTAAAATTCTGCACAAACTCATTGCATTTTAGATATGTGTAATTTCAATTATCAATTTTAACTCACTTGATATCGTCCAGGAGCGTCGTATACTTCGTCGCAGCACATCCGTTGTCGGCAAGTGATCGACAGCGCCACTCGAACCGCGTGTATAATCCTTAATCCACTCACCACCAGTGGAAGTGGTTGCTTGCAATTCCCTGCAACAAGAGAAACAATTCCATTTGACAATCAGATGCATTTTCATTATGTCGGAAGATAGTGGCGCGGCGTTTCAACAAAACAAAAAGAACAACAAAATAACACTTTCATTCGTGTTATGTAGTTATACAAGTATGTAAACAATTATTATATGATTAGAAAAGTTTCGCGTTCGTCGTTTTCGCTGGTTGCTGGCTAAATGAGCGCGCGTGCGAATACATGCAAACGATTTGGTAGCACAAACGACAGTTATGAGACAAAAATTGGGCGGCAAACGCATTAATTGAAGATCAGTTAATAAACGTATGTACACACACACACACATACACATAAATAGGCAGTTAGTGACAGATGAAGTTGGTAGCACCGACACGTGTGTGGGCAAACATTGTTTGTGCGGCAAAACATTTGCAATTAGTCAGTGAATTTGAGGCATGACAAGGCTGCGAATAATCGGCATTAAGTGCCATATGCACAGATACAGACACATATATGTATACATACATATGATTGGTAAGTCTGCACTTAATACATTTGCATTCAATCATTTTATTGTACAACTCAGTCCACATAAGCTTGAAGTATTTGCTGGTGCTGCTGCCTTGATCGATCCGTGCCTCTGTTGGTCTGTCGTTTTGCTTAATAAGCGGTGTGGGACGCTTTGGGTTGGGCCGTTGTGTGCATCCGACAACGCCAACAATGAGCAATCAGCAGAAATATGGCAATCAGCAGTCACAAAATATACCAATTTCGGTGCTGTAGACAATTTCAACAACAATAACAATAGTAAGAATCTTATGCCATTGCTATTCATGAGGGCTGTGGGTATAGTGTGTCACATAAGACGATTAGAATTAATATGCATTAACCGTCTTCTTACGCCTAAGCTGCTGTCTTTGTGTGCTGCTGACGGCAAAATTAAAGCTTGCTTTTTAGCTGTTAGTTCTTGCTTGTGGTTTGTTGTTGTATGCATGTGGGTGCCTGACGGTGACACATTCTTGCAGACAAATTGCACTCGTAGCGCTTTTCATACACTCGAATATAGATACATAAGTATATATGTTTATGCTAAAATATGAGTTATGTGTTCATATTTCTTCTTATATAAACTAAGAGTCTTTAATATTAGAGTATCCAGCTACTTTTATACGAATTTTTCAAATAGAATAATTGCTTGCCATCACTGACATCACCTATTTACGTCTGCTATATTAGCTGACATAAATATACATATATATATATATGCGGAGAGTACATAACACATTTAGCGCGCATAGTCAGCAAAAGTAAGCAAAGATTTGGTAGAGAAACACATTAAGTTGCACCACACAAATTTTATTAGTATATTTTAATTACTTCTGCTGAGTTAGACGAGCCAAATGGGTTGGCGAAGTTCATAAGGGTAAAATTTTCACACCACACAGGTGAATGTGTGTTAATATGTGTACAGCTGCGTGAGTAAAATGAGCACTACTAACTGGAGCACTTGTTTTTGGAAAAAAGGTTAGGAAAATCTCTCTCTCTCTCTTTTTATATTATATAATCCTCTAACTCTCCCATCCCCTCTTTCTCTCTTCTGAGTGACACTTTTGTATTCAGACAGTAACGGATCATAATGCAATATTTCTCTCTATCTAACTGCCTCCCTCTCTCTATTTATAAACTTTATTTCCTCTCTCTGAGAAAGTGAGGGGTTATAAATTTTTTTTATATATTTTTCTCTTTCCAACTTTCTCTCACTATTTCTTTCTAACTTCCTTTCTAGCCCTCTCTAAGTGATAAACCAGTAGTTACAAAGTAAAGATTTATTTACTGCTTTCTCTTCAACTTGCTTTCCTTATTTTTCTGTTAACATTCTTTCCCTTTTTAGTTCGATTCGCCTCTCTCTCCGTCTTAAGTGATAAACCAGTATTTCGAGTGTGAGAAGTTATAAAATCGTTTGCTCTCTTTTTAGCTTTCTCAACCTCTTTTTGTTTTAACTCTCTCCTTTTCTAGCTCGCTACCTCTCTCCCTCTCCCATTCTGATGCTTTTTCTTTACAAAGCATAATTAAAGAATACGATTTTTGTAATAAATGTGGTTTCTCAATATGAAGGCAACATTTTTCCAAATTATCTTTGAATTGGCAAAACAATAAAATAATGCAAAAATTACTGATGAGAGAAAACAGTTTTGCAGTAATTTTTTATTTAGTGTTCGCCTAAAACCTTTTTACCCAACCGTATTCATGGTGAATTCATATGAAAGTTTCGCCCCCAGATGCCGTTCATTTGTCGGAAATTTCAATATCGGAACTCTACATATAGCTGCTATGTAATCTGACAGAAAAAAAATCCACTTATTCTATTTGACAAGATTTCTTCACGGAATTTGTTATTGAATATTGCCCAAGGCAAAGCTATAATTTACGAACATATTGCTCGGAGCAGAACACTATAGCATATAGCTAGCATAAAAAATGACAGATCAAAATCAAGATAAAAATGTTTTATATCCTTTTAGGTTACTTGAAATGTACCTGTGAAGAGTATTGTAGTTTCGGTGCAGCCGAAGTTAACGATTTTTCTTGAGAAGATTTTAAGAAACTAATAATTAAGAGTTTTATAAAACTCGGTTTAAACTCATCGAACCACCGAAACTCAATCACATTCTGTTTTTGAGTTGACAGTAATGCTTATTATTATGTAAGTAAGCTAAAGAGGTTTAGACTAAGAGAGCTTAACAGTACATGGGCAATATTGCTATAAAAATATATATTAATGAAGCATATTCAGCCTAAGTCCGTAAAATAGCCATAGAGCAACGGTTTATTTTCTTTGAAACCAAAACAAAAGTTTGATCTTCAATATAAATATGAAATTGCTTAGAGCTTGAGACTTTTTTTCATATCATATTTCTCATATAAGTGTGTTATGTTTTTATATTTCTCACCACTGTAGGTAAGTGTGCATAAGCCATTCGTTGCAGAATCAGCGCCAATTAGGAAGTGTAATATTGTTGTTGCATGCCTATTTCATAAAATACACTCCCTTACTTAAAATTAGTGTACGTTTACACACACACACACACATATATATATACTTGTATATATAAACATATGAATTGATGTTGATTTTCTACTTCTTTTATACACGTGTGTATTTGAGGTTATACTCGCTCCGGCTAACATGTAACTTGCACTACTGACATTGAACTTAACTACCCCAGTTATGCTTCGGTTTGCACATGCTGAGTTGGATCTTTAACACTCTCGCGTTGCTGAAAGTAATTAGTTTTAGAATTATTTGCACGCACACTTGCACAAAATTGCACTTCATCGTTTTGAGTGGTGAAAGCTACTTAATTTCAATATTTTATTTGTGTATAAGGCCTTACAAATTATGCCGTTAGGAATTTGTAAATTTGATGGCCCGATTATTTTTTATTGTAATATATTTCTGAGGCTTGCAAAAAGAAAGTTACATGTAAATATGGTGATAATGCTTTTTATGGACTCTGAAGGAATTATACGTATATCTTAAAATTTTCAATTTTTTTCAGTAACTAATATAAGATAGCAAGCAGGTACAGGTTTGTGTCGATTTATTGTGCATGCCGTATGATGAGAACAAAGTACCATCGCAGCTGAGCTGGCACAGGACACTGAGGTATCCAAGTGCATGATAATATCTGGATGCTATTCAAGCGCACACCATATACTATGGAGTAGCCCAGACATCAACGGAAGAGGGGAACTGCTCTTTAATTGTTTACTGGGTGCCAAGATTTTGTTTTCCAACATTTATCGCTAGAAATCGACAGTAAGTATTAGATAATAAACTTATGTTGGAAGAACTGTTAAATAAAGTAACCCAATGGAGGATTCTTGAAGAACATACCTTTTTGGGATCACCGCTACAATGAATGTATACTAGAAGAAAATTATGTAGTGAGGGTAAACCATTTCGGTAAACCATTGGCAAGTGCACATCCGAAAGCTAAAAAAGCCGTATTCCTACGATGCTCCCATTCCAACCTAAGAACAAGAAAAGCCTAAACATCCTCGTTAAACGGTTCATGGAATGTTGTCATCTATGGAATAGTTATTACAACCATCAATGTTTATGCGTACATATATAAGATATAAGAAAAAGTACAAAGAATCTCTTGGAAATATTTCGAAAATGATATCGAAGCTACGACAGAAGCGTCATCTCATCTACATTTCATTTTTGAATTGATGAACTTTATCAAAAGTACAGGATGGTTTAGAGAAGACATCACAGAGTCAGTGGAATTTGGTCCCCGTGGTTTTACATTGGGTCTCCAAAAGACTTGATGTTACAAAATTTTCAAGAATCGGACCAGTAGAAATATACAATACACTTTTTTTTGTAATTTTTTTTATATTTTTTTACTATAGCATCTATCATATGTATAAACTTGAACGAAAAATGGTATACATCATTAATGCCCATGCTTTTAGTTTTTTTGGTAGGTTGGGTTAGGTCGTAGAGTTGATTCCATCGATGGATCTCACTTGGACAGCTGAAGTAGGTTGCATTCTATACATAATTCTTAATTAGGCTTAATTTCAAAATCCGAAGAAAAATATTTAGATTTTAGAGGCTAACTTCGAAAAAATGGGAATTTTCCATGCAAACACTTGAGTGCTCCGATATCGGTCGTTCCGACAAATTAGCAGCTTCTTAGTGAGGAAAGGACAGGTGCAAAATTTCTGATCGATAGCTTAAAAACTGAGGGACTGTATATATATACACAGACGGATAGACGAACAGACAGACGGACATGACTAAATCAACTCAGCTCATCATACGGATGATTTATGTATTTATTTTATAGGGTCTCTGACATTTCCTTCTGGGTGTTACAAACTTCGTGGCTAACTTAAGATACCCTGTTCACAGTATAAAAATTGTGTGGAAAATTTTGAAATCAATCCACATCTTTCCCTAACTTAAACCATACTGGGTATGGTGCATTTCGAATATCCGGTTGAC